ATCAGCGGGCATTGTTCTTGAAGATCGCTAGTCAGGTGTCCACACAGGTGTGTAAAAAATAAAGTCTCATCTTAACTTAATGTCCGACTCTGTATAGCTCGTATATCTGATTCCATGATCACACTACTAGTGCTTCCACGGATTTAAGTGGGGTAAACACAGTTCATTCTCACTTTAAGAGGCTACATATTTAAAATTAAATAAATAAAAATAATCTAATTTAACGTGACTAATGTTAATTAAATACTTTTAGGCTTTTAACACGTATAAATCCACTTCTAACTTACAGATAAGATTGCGTTAGAGAACATGAAAGCCGTGGGTGATTTTTTAAAAATAATGCTAATGATAAGTTACTGATATTTGGTTTGCATAAAACAAAGTAATCACTAAGCATTCATTTTTGGCAAAATCTGCAGAGAGGCTCAGCGACACGAGGAAATATGTTAAAGTTGAGTAGAGAACTAAAGAGCAGTCTAGCCTACTTCCTGAAATGTTTGTGGTAATATTCTGCTGTCAATTCGTATTACTGTATTTTAATATGCAGCAGTGATGGCATGTCAGCGAGACAAATAAACATTTTATCGAGTCATTTCATACAATTTATTAATTTATTTATTTTTTATACAAACCCTCTAGTGACATTTCCTCAAACTAAATCATCATAACGTTACTGTGCACAGCATCAGTAAAACATTGAGAATAATTTAAATACTTAATTTTTTTAAAACAGTCACTGCTGATTAGAAACTAACATTAAAGCTAAGCTTACAGAAATCCTGTATGCATGACAATATAAAGATGTATTACTCACTGATGTAGAAGCACTTCCAGGTCATCTGAGATGTAGACAGGACAGAATATGTGCTATCAAATGAGCTCTTGTGCAGCCTTTGTTGGACATCCAGGTAGTATGTTCACCCACACTGTAAGAAACAAAAACAGAAACAATTTATTAAAATGTGAGGGATAGTAAACATGTTTGGTCTACAGAGAGAAGAAAATGTTTACTTTAAGCATTGATCCTAATGAATCTATTTCTGAACTACATTTAACCTTATCACGGAAACAGCATTTTTGAGCTTTCAGACCAGGGGTGCTCAACCTTGTTTGCTTTAAATTAGAATTAAAACAATAAATCTCTATGTCAAATAAAATACTTCAGATCTAAATAAAGCAGGTGCTTTTACCTAAAGGTTCCTTCCCTCCAGTTAGTTTGGCTGCAAATCCCTCCACATCTGTGCTTTATTCGGTTCTTGTCTTAAGAGTAACTGGTGTCACATTCCAGGTTCATCACAATCTGAGCTAGAAAGACAATATGGCAAAAGACAAGACATATATAAATAAGTCTCAGAATAAAATATTTAAAAGGATAGTTTACTTTTCTGCCACCATTACTCCATGTGTTTTAAATCCATTTAAATTTCTGTTAAACACTAAAGCAGATATTTTGAAGAATGTTAGTAACCAGTAACTATTGACATCCATATTTGAACCAAATTTCTTTAAAAAATACGAGTTTGTGTTCAACGGAACAAATTAAATGTATAACTATTTTGAAACAAGTAGAGGATGCCAAAGATGCTATTATTTTCATTTTGGGGTGAACTGTCCCTTCAATTCAAGTGTCAAGCAATAGTCATAAAAACTGATGTGTCGCTTGAGGAAAACTAAATCAAGTACTTTCTTTGAACAAGCAGAATTATTATGCCATTGTATTCAGTGATTCTCTTTTACATTTTCCCACTATAAAACGATAGCTTCACCATGCAATCTATGTTAACACAAAAATGAATAGCATAAAATAACATATTGAACTAAACTTACAGTTTCCAGGCTGTTTGAAAAAAAAAAAAAACACATACGCCCAGTAAAATTGCTAATAAACACAAAGACAACTGTTATAGAAAAAAATGTTTGTCTAATATTTACTCAGCACTTGATAGGCAGATAGAATAAGCGTGGTCGTTTTAACACCAGATTTTGTTTATCTTAGGAACTGCTGGAAGAAGAAAAAGAGGTTGTACATGAAACTTCTCACAACAAATCTGTGAACAACTTGACATTTAAAAATCTAATCAAAATGAGGAAGACATCAACATTACCTTGAATAATCAAGTGAGGAGTGATTGGTAGCATCAGTTTTTTAACATCAATTACTGTAGCTGAAAAACAGATAAATATAATAAGAGTAAAATAAGACTTAACATTAATTAATCTAAATCTATGGTACAACCATACCAATCTGTATGGGGTTAAAATACATTTGTACAAAAATCATTCCCTGACCCCATCAATTTCTCTTAGAATAGGATGGATATAGTGATAATGACTTTGGCTTATATCTGTGTACTCAGAACGTACACTCACTTCAGGTACACCTGAACACCAAAAATTAAATGTACAATTAATGACACACTATACATCAAGCTCATTAACATTACTGAGAAATAGACAATTAATATGTATTTTGTTAATATTAACGTTAGCTTAAAATAATTCAACTGCATTTAATTTTCAGCTCCATTTAATAAAACAGTTAAGACTCATTTCATTATGAGTTTAGTTTAAGTAACTAACTTACAGTTGAAAAATTTTACCATAATGATAGCTTAGTCATAATGACTATGTGAAGACCAGAGCTTACCTTAACTTTTCATGGTGACTTCGCCTTCATCTCAGTGTTGTGCTGAAATAGAGAATTCATTAATGCAGTTACAATAAGTTAAAGTTATGTTTTTTTCAGGTAACTTAACGTATGGTCAAAAACTCACTCAAGATAAACTCACTGTGTCTAATACCTCGCAAACACTACAATGACCGCCTGGCGTCTGTTATTTCTTGTTTAAATACCGTTTGTTAACGGATAGCGTGACAACATAAGAACCTACAACTAATGTCACTTGGTTAATTCTTTTAAATTACACACACAATACACAGAAATACTTATAAAACAATCCTTTAACGGACAGAATTTGACTTTAAAACACTTACCGAGGATGAATTCGCTGGATGAAAGACGACAGGTGAATTTCAAATTAGGAGAGCCGTTGTCTGCATGTCGAGTCGTGTCCGTTCCGTTCTATGAATCGGCTCCTTAGTGAACAGTAAAGAATCGAATCCGCCTAAAACCGATTCCTTTTTGTATATGATTCATTACTATTTCGTTATACTGCTTGGCCACACGCATTTATACACTAATTATACACTAATTGCATATTGCTGAATGTGCTTGTGAACACGTGTGATCAAATAATTCCCGAGCAAACGGTTCAATTCGGTTCAATACGACTCAGAGTTGCTCGAGTGCTGAACCGAACCAGTGCAAACGTGATATTGATTACAATATAGTAACATTGTTTTTTATTCACTTTACCAGCGAAATTATTACATATATCTGACCTTGACAATAAGAATAAAGTTCGTTTGAAGTGTTTTGAGAATTATATATAAATATTTTTTTTTTCTCCCAGAATTCATTTCACATCAACAAGCAAATGGTAATGGCGGATGAGAAAGCCCAGCTAATATTATAAATATTGCGTTTAATATGTCACGAAATGAAATTTTAACAGTGTTTCATGCGAGAATGTAACGTTAGTTCTTACAAACTCAAATCTGTGGTTTATTTATAGATATCATGTGTAAATTTTGAGCGTGCTTTGCCGATAGCGGAGATTCTGACCTCCAGGGTGTCCATCATCACTCATGTATCCGGGGAAACGAGGTTATAATCGGCTAGACATGTGAGACTTGCCCCGGTCTTAGATGGCTCTATAATGAATGTGTTATGAAATTTAGTTTTAACCGTTTTTCATGCGGGAATGTAGTTGTTTTAAACTCAAGTCTGTGGTTTATTTATAGAGATGGTGGGTATTTTAAAATATTGTTTTGAAAATGCGGAGATATGTGACCTCCATGGTGGTGACGGGTGCCCTAACCTCATGAATCCGTCTAAAGCAGGCTGGTCATTATGACATTTAAGCTGACTTTGGTTTCATGATGAATCAATTACTTTTGTTCCAGTTTACGTTTTGGTTAAGCACAAAGTAATGTTGATTAAAAATGATTTGATATTTTCATGTTAACCTTATAAAATTAAGGTGCAGTACACCCAAATATGGAAAACCAGGGGACAGTTTTATGCACTGAACAGTCTAAAGAAACTGGTTATTTTATTTTTCTTCACAAAATACTTTGTCAAAAAATAAAATAAACATAATAATAATAATATAAAGTGTGTGTAGAGTTTTTCATGGTCATTTGCAGTACTGTATTTAGATGCACAGTAACTGATTTTTTCCCAAAATTCATTGTAAAATCTGCAGTAGCATACTGTTAATCATGTTCACAGTATGGAAATGTTGAGAATACATTATCATGCTGTGAAAACAGCAATATATACAGTAACACACTGTGCACAGCTTATACAGTAAACAACTGTTGAGAAATGCAGTATAATACCGTGAAAACAACAGAAATCGTTTACAGTGTAGTGATGGGTGCGGCCGGAAAAGCATCCTGCGTGAATAAGGTGGCGGTTCATTCCGCTCTGGCCCTGATTAAAAAAAGGGACTAAGCCGAAAAGAAAACGAATGAATGGTTTTGTTCCTCCTAATAAGTCTGTTTCTGTTATGCCCCTACATATTGTTAATTCTCAGTATGGTCAGTTTTTTCTCTGTAAACATTTACAATGTTCATTTATTCACAATATTAATTTAAAGAAATGTTTTTGTTTGGAGGGTCTTTGAGACTGGAATGCAAAACCACTGATCGAGAATACCCTTTAGTTTGATTTCACAGGTGTTTCTCATGCACACAAACAACCAGAATTTTGCGATTCAATGATTGTAAATGGCACGAAATTTAAAAGTGAGAAAAACTAAATACAATGCAGGAGGACTACAGTTCAAATACATCATATGATAAACACTTTAGCATGATTTTTTAAATGCTAATGATTTTGCTTATATAGAAGTGATGGGTCATTTAGTCTTTCATGCATCAAATATGATACAGGCTTTATTGCTATAAGGTAAACATGTTTCTCTTTTTGATTCTCTCAATGTTTTCATTATATAAATACAAAGCCCATTTGTACAAATTTGACCATACTGTTGCCTGTATGTTTTCACAGCAATGTAACACAACAAATATCATTAATATTCCAGAAGATTTTAAGAAAAGCCACTGCACTGCTAAGTTACTTTATGCGGCAGAAATGCTGGAGGGACTGACAAACTAAACAAGTTAAAAGTCTAGCAAAGACCAAATTAACATAGAGGATTTTTTCTTTCTGTAAAAATCTAAACATTTTGGGCACGCCAAAACACAATTATTCAGAGATCAGAGGCTACTAAAGTATAAAAAAGCAGAATAAAAATAGTCCAAGCAACTTCCTCATTTAAATCTAATTCATGTTTGCATAGATTTCATCTTTTGGTTACACCTGAAAGGCAGAGGGTAACATTAACATTTTTATTTAGAATGTTTTGTTTCTAACATTGGCTCACTGACCAAATCTATTAAACAAGCAATTAACTGTTTTATTGATTTGAAGATTTAACAACAGCAAAAAAGGGAACCTAAACCAGCTTCATTTACCCACCGAGCAACATAAGTGCATTTAGTAATCATAGTGATTTTACATTCAGTATCAATAAAATGTCCCCAAAATGTATTAAATACTGTATAATCCTTTAAATTGAGCTGATCTGATCATTTGAACCAATTCACAGACTTTTAAAGTAAATATTTATTTAATAGACTTTTTAAAATATGAATTTAAGACTTTAAGATTTGTATTTTTTTAATTAGCTCATAGAACATTTAGCATTTTTCAATTTCTCAGAAGACAAAAAAAAAAAAAACCAACAACAATAAAAAAACTGAACGGTAACTACTACAGTTCATGGTGTTGAAATTTTAGGGATGTTGCCAATGAGAATTTGACTTTAAAGCATCCCAGCTCTTTTTCAGTGCTTCCTAAAATTACATGCAATCTGAAATTGGTAATTGTGTCAGACAGTGAAAAATTTGGTATGTAGATACCAGAGTCAGACGTTGGCCAGTTGTAGTCACCCTAAAAAAAGGAGATAAATATTAAGCTTTAAAAAATATATCAAATAAAATAGTCAAACATTGGCTGCATATCTGGATGTTGAGGTATAATGTGGATACTCACAGCTTTGAATGGACATCGGCAGGAGGATCTGTTTAAACGTAAATGTTCAGGACACAGTGAGAACATTGACATAACCTCGGCCAGCTGGTCACATGCATCAGGATAATAACAACTTCCTACACCATTAACACAAGGTATTTTTACCCAAGCACCAGCTACTTCTTTTTCCAATGTCAAGTTGACCTAAGACAAATACAAAAAGATTATATCCTACTCAGTATTTCACAAGGATGACTGAGACACAGAAAAGAGCTTTCAGGTTTTTGAAATGTTGTCACTCAGGTTTGCAGTCTCTTTATATTCAGTCACACAACACACAGTCTAATAAATAACAAAATAAGTTTGGTACTGAGAATGAATGTGGTTCAAATCAATTCAGATGTTCTTGTTATCAGCGTTACTATGGTTTCATTATGGAAAAAAACAGGTTTGTTTTGTTAGCAGTTACACAATGGTTAATTTGGTATAATGGTTTAGAGGGTTTTCACACCAGTCTATTTTGGGTGAATAATGCTAAAGATTAATACAAAATGACTACTCTATAGAAATTTGTATTTCTTTTTATTTCAGTAATGCATAAAAGACTTTTTTTGCATTCCTCATGACAAAAATGGAGAAAATCTGACGTTTTAAAAAAAAGATAATTTAATTCAGGCCTGCCTATTAAAAGGGGTGGCTCTTTTTTCTCAAAAAGTGGACCTTTTTACAGCTATTAGCTTCAAATTATGAGGTTCAAATACTCTTTGAGACATTTTAAGCACTAATTTGTGCTGGATTAGCTTACTACATTTTTGAAGAAGTACTTATTATTTTAAAATGAAAAAAAATGTTTATTTACAAATGTGCATTTAAACTAAGTTATTAAAGTTTTATATATAATGTAATGGGACTAGAATTTTAGAAATATGAAAAAATACTTTTTTAAATGCTAATTTATTACCCTCCATCATTAAAAAAAACAAACAAAAGGTGAATCTGTTAAAACTTGTTTTCAATGAAAAATTGTTGACTATAGGCAAATAACAAACTGGCCATCTCATTTCCTCAGTCAGTATTTGGCCATTTAAATAATAAAAGCCTTCTTTTATTGGTTATTCTTCTTAAAGCCTCCATCTATTAGGGTCTTTCGAACCACCCGGACCCCCCCTGGCTACGGGTCTGTAATTTATCACAAAACATAAGACTTTTTAACAGTTTATAATACAACCCCTGCATGTTAGCACTGCAGCTTTGCATAAAATATTTTTTTTGTAAAATAAAATAATTATAAATATTATTATTAAAATTAACTATAGTTTTTAGGCGTAATGGTGGCCAGTGGGTAACACGATCGCCTCACAGCAAGAAGATCACTGGTTCGAGTCCTGGATGGACCAGTTGGCATGTTCTCCTTATGTAGTGTTTTTTTCCAGGTGTTAAATTGGCCGTAGTGTATGTGTGTGAATGAGTGTGTATAGATATTTCCCAGTGATGGGTTGCAGCAGGAAGGGCATCTGCCATGTAAAACATATGCTGGATAAGTTGGTGGTTCATTCCGCTGTGGCAACCCCTGATTAATAAAGGCACCAAGCCGAGAATAACATAAATGAATGAATAGTTTTTATAAAATAGCATTATAACAATATTGAAGCTTCTCATCTTGTTAAATATTATGTTGCATAATAATATATAATTAATTTCATTTTTAGTCCAATTCAAACATTTAAAAAGTTTTCAGTCAAATTGTGCTGCCTGCATACAAATACAACTTTATAACTAGCTTATTTAATTTCCCCAATTTATACTACAATTGTAATCTGAAATCAACTGTTCTCTGAAGACTGCCACCTTTATAAAAACTAGAAAATATTACATAAAAAAGAATAATATATATATATTTTAGAAAAACTACAACAACATTTCGACACATTTAAACAAAATCACGCGAGTAAATCGATCAGACACGTCATATTATAATTTGGACTTACAGGTAAAGGAGAGGTCAAATCAACCGCTATAGATGCTGAAGCAGTGCCTAACACAATTCCAGGTGAAGGTATTGCGTTTGGATATACATGAAGAGTCTTCCAATGAAAAGGCGCATCTGGGTTTCCACACTTCTCCCAAGAAAAGCGATTGAACTTCTCAATAATAGAAAGCAGCATATGGGCATACAATGAAAACGAATACTACATCAAATTAATCATATTGTAATGTCGCATAGGCATACTTACCTTGGTAAATGTAAACGTTTTTCTGCTAAGCCACTGACTCGAGACTTCTTTTAAAACACAACTGAAGGCGAACAGAGAGATCAACAAGGAAACGCAGCTCATTTTGCACGGTTTATGTACAGCCATTCTAAATTTTTGATATTTAAAGAGGTATTATTACATAAAGAGGTATTTATGAAGTGTAAAAATATAATAACTCTGAAACCCAGAACACGTGCTTATTTATTTCCCCATCACAGTCACTTTGGGGAACTGCGCATCATTGACTGTTTATGTGACTGAACAGGTTTACCGTGTTTTTTCGGTGTATGTAAAATCCATTATACAGCGACCTCCACTGGCTGGTACACTTTAACATCAAATGTATTCTAGTTTTAAAAAAAAAGACAGTTTAAAAAATATTGGGCTCCATACAATTGGTTTGTGTTGAGACAACATGAAGGAATTAAGTTTACTTACACGTACATGTATAATGATGTGTTAATATGTAAACTACACATTATTATGGACTAATGATGAGTTAATGCATGCACTAATCTTGAACAAACTTTAACATGAGTCACATGAGTTTATGCATGAATAACAGCTACATTATTTACTTGTTAGTACTTGTGGTCAATGAATGTAATTAACATTTAAGTTTAAGCTAAATGTAACCAACAAATTATGATAATGTTAATATAGAGTTATGTTGTGACTACTTGGAGGAGCACATCATCCTTAACTCATCCTTAACAAATCATGAACACTCATGTGTTTACACTGTTGATGTTGACAGAACACTTTTCTATTGTAATTCATTGTAAACACACTACTAGACAGACTTGCATAAGGGGTTCATGAGTAGTTAAGAATGGGTTAATGATGATGTGTCCCTCCAAGTAAAGTCATGATATAATTATACATCAACAGCTCATGAGTTCATGATGGTTAAATTAAGCATAAACTAATGTGATAATTAATACATTAACAATCAAGCCTGTACTAACAAGTAATAAAGTTAGCCGTTATTCACACATGAACTCATGTGACTCATGTTGTTGTTAAAGTTAGTGCATGCATTAACTCACCATTAGTCCATAATAAAGTAATGTTTAGTTTACATATTAATACATCATTATTCATGTACTGTTATTGTAAAGTCTTACCATTACTTTTTAGGTAATTACTGGACTGAACATAAAAAATTAGGTTGTCCCCAAAACAACTCACGAATTGTGTTTCAGCTCATTTTAATTAAGCAGTTTGAGCAAACACCCTTTTTTGAGTGTATTTAAATACATTTTGACAGTGAATTAACAAAATAAAAATTTACTATCTGCTGCATAACATGCTTGGCTTATTCTAAAAAAACATAAGCAAAATTATAATGCTGATTTACCACAAACTCTGAGAAAATGTTAAACTTGTGTTTAAATGTTTATTAAGAACCAAAAAGAGAAATTTCCCTTTTAAAGAAACTTAAGCATCACATTGACACTTTATTAGTACCAAACAACATAAATTACGATAGAAAATTAAAGCAGTAGTTAAAATGAAGTAACAACAAGTTAATTTAAAACAAGTAACACAACAAAAATCTGCAGCTCATGATCTAAATATTTCCAGTACCCAAGCTTTGACCAGTGGTTTTTTAGAGAATATTTACAGCTCGTTTCAATCATTTTAAAACAATTGAATGAAATTCTTCGTTAGTTAAAAAGACATTTGCTTAAAGAATTAATCATTCACTTATGAAACTCCCATAGATTACCAAACTACCTTTCATCAAGAAACACTTTGTTTCTTCTTATCCAAAGCCAGTGACAGCAAAACAATCTTTGGCTGATATCGTTAATTCTTGGAGGAATGCAGTGAGAAGCTGATTTTAAGGCATCCCAGTTCTTTCCCCGTGCTTCCTAAAATGCCTTCTACTCTGTAATGGCCATTGGTCAGCCAGCCCGGCAGTTCAACATCTGGTATATCGATTTCTGATGAAGGCAAAGCATAATCGCCCTGGGAAAAAAAATATATGATAAATGTTCTTCCTTTAAAGTAACATACAGTAAACACTTGAATGTTTAGAAGAGACACTCACAGCTTTGAATGGGCAGTGGCAGGGCAGGCCATATGTGTGCAGAGGCTCGGGACAATCCTGTGGGGGGGGAATTAGCTGATTGAGCAGGTCACAGACATTAGGATAATGACAACTTCCGATTTCATCCAGACATGGGATTTTCACCCACATGCCAGCCACTTCTCTTTCCACTGTCACGTTCACCTGAAACAAAGAAGAAGTTATTAAAACTAGGGTTTATGAAGATGTAAAGTTTAAAAAAAACATGTGAGAAGCACTGATGTTCAGTCACAAGACACACAACAGAAGCAATCACTTTACTAGCAGTCTATAAAGAGATAAACCAAGTCACAAGACTGGTTTGGAAGCTCTTTTTAGAAAAACTAAACTAGCTATATGACATGATAACAATGTTTTAACTACAGGAGTCCGTTTTTTTTGTACCTTGCTTAAATGATTTAGCAGATCCTGGATCTTTCAATCTTGATTACTGATCTCTGGCTAATTTGGTTCTTCAAACAAGCTCGCGAATCAGATTAAAATGTATGGATGAACTGATCTGAGATCATGAGTATAGAGTGAAGGACAGATCTATCGATCCTCAAAATTATGAACAGCAATGCAATGATTGGCTGACAGCACAGCAGACATCATTCGATTAATATTCAATTATCCACGTGAGCAAAATTACATAAAATCCATAGTAAACAGTTATTTAAATATGATCGCAACAAGTTTCCACGTTTGTTGTGGGCTACAGGCTTTACACTTTCATGTGTCAAGAATATTTAGCTATTTGTTTAGATTCACATTTACAGCGGATTTTCTTTATTATATTAGTCTAGGTTTCTTAAATAGCGTAATAACTGGCTGTTTAAATTGTTTCTGCATCAAAGGATTTTGATATTGGCAAAGGTGTCTGCAACTTCTGCAAATCATTAAATATCGTGCAAAGTTGAATATCGTGCATGCCTATTATAATAGAAAACTGTACTAAAGCTGGGTCGGTACTATAACAGTGTACTACGGTAAGAAAATATCAGCATTTGGTACACACTTTCAGTATTACCTTTGCTTGAAATGACCCAATCTAATAATGTTTATATAAAATAAGCTGCTGCTCCTGAGCAGGTTTGAGCTACCAGACCTGTTTCTATGTCAAAAACTCTCAGATAAGTTTTGAAGAATGAAATGATCCTAGATTGTGTCAAATCTTCAATAACCAAATCCAGCTAATTGAGTAATCTATGTACGAAGAAGAGTAGACATATCAACATTTGGTGGGAAAGCCCTTATTTTCAAATCACAAAAACTGAAAATATATGACCAGCATGTTATCATATATGTATATATACTTTGCATTCACTTATTTAACATTAACTTTTTTTATGCATGAAAATTCTGATATTATACAAAATATTTATTTTTGCTATGCATACTAGAATACACGCACATTAGAAATGCTTGCTTTACATACCCTACACTGCAAAACCCAAAAAGTTGTTGACTCAAACTGTTTGAGGAAACCGGAAACCGATTGACACAAACCATTTAATTACAAAAGCTAATCTATTTAAGTAAACAAACAAAAAAATTGAGCACACTGTAAAAGTGAACTTACTCCATTTAAGCTGAATGAGGCATTTACTTCACTCATTACCTTCAACACTGAGTTCAAAACTCTTTTCAAATGAGTAGAACTAACTTACAGTCAATTTTGAGTTGACTACACTCATTTCATTTGATAAAGTTGCATGTTGGGTTTCACGGAGTATAAACAAAACCAGCGCTTCATATATTATATGAATATGAAAATATTTATATTATATTCTGATTTACATTACAAAATTATTTTGGAAAGCAATACAATTTTACTTGCATTTGTTGCACTTTATAAAGCCTAAATATGGTGAATTTGCTAGACACAATGTCCTATTTTAATATTTCTAAACAATTCAAACAGTTTTGAAATAAGTGGCAATGATTCTTTTACATTGAAATTTTGTGTTTTTTTATTATTGTTGTTATAATGAAGAAAAAAATACTGAAATAAAATAGCAATGGCAAAACAACAAACAATAAAGCTGTAACGGAACAGTGTTCATTTATACACCAAAATACAGAACTGAGACTTCTCAAAACAAAGTAGGCAGGAGGAAGTTGACATGAACAGATATCTGGCATCTACATACACTTTAAAAGAGATTTACAGAAAAAAAAGAATGGCCAAGCTGTGTAGAGTTATAATATAGTTCTTTAACTTACAGAGAGAGGAGATGCCAGCTCTACAGATGTTGTGCCCTTTGCATCTGCAGTTAAACGTCCAGGAATGGGAATGGGGTCTGGAGAAATATCAAGACTCTTCAGGTTTGCAGGATCATCTGGTTTACCGCAATTTTGCCAAGAAAATCCCAATACCTGATGATAAAAACAAATTAAACAACACGCAAAGTTCAGCTTAACCATTTAAATAGTCAGAAACAATCTCAAAGCATGTGAAATTCTTGCCTTGGTTAATTTTGATGGTTTCCTGCCAAGCAAGTGGCTCGAGCCCTCCAGCAAAAAACAGCTCGTTACGAAGAGAGCAATAAGCACAGAGAAGCAGCTTTTCATTTTGAACGGTGTAACTTCCAGCCTAAAACACCAAATGCAACTTTGTATTGAATAATCAGAGAGCTCCACAAAACGACAAACGATAATAATTACCCAAACAGCATGCGACTGACAATAGGCAGAACAACAGTATAATGAACGGGCGTTGAAAACTGAACTGAAACGCTTCCCTTCAGGAACTATTAGTTCGTGTCATGTGAGTGTGTTGTGGTATTTTAAAATTATGCCATCTTTCCGCATTTATTACGAGATTTAGTGTTACAGCGACCTCTAAAGGCAGGAGGAATAACATCAGGTCAGTGATAACAGGATGAGCAAAGATGCTGGTAAACAACAACATTTATAGTGTAACTTTTAAAGAAAAGCACATAAGTATAACAACAATAAATCAAATGGCCTGTTACGAGTTCAAGGCCATACTGACTGTGGTGAGTTTATTATTTAATGAATAATATTAATAATAATTTTAAGTATAGACCTACTGTGTTTATATTTTCTATGTCATACATATTAATTCATATGATACATTTTTATTAAGATTTGTCAATTCAAAATATATAAACCATATTTGTCCAAAAATAGGGCAGCATGGTGGTGCATTGGGTAGCACAATTGCCTCACAGCAAAAAGGTCACTGGTTTGAGCCCTGGCTGGGTCAGTTAGCATTTTCTGTGGAGTTTGCATGTTCTCCCCATGTTTGCGTGGGGTTTAAAATTGTCTGTATTGTAAGTGTGTGAATGAGTGTGTATGGATGTTTCCCAATGATGGGTTGCAGGTGGAAGAGCATCCACTTGGTAAAACATATGCTGGATGAGTTGATGGTTCATTCCTCTGTGACGACCCCTGATTAATAAAGGGAATAAGCCGAAAAGAAAATGAATGAATAAATGTCCAAAAACATATTTACTTAAACATATAATTAAAATATATTTAAATATATATATAATTTCTACAAATACATGTTGGCCATTATTTTGAATATATATGTATTAAATAATTCTTGTTTTTTTAAAAAGGAGCCTAAAATTAAAGGCACTCTACACCCAAACATTTAAAATTTGTCATAATTTAATTTCCATCATTTTCTTGTTTCAAACCTGTTTATTCATCCATAGTATTTGTTTTTCCTATGAATACCAATGGTTGGGTCACTTTACAAACCGTTCAAACAGGTCTGAGATTACCTGCAGTGTTTAAGTAATAACAATAAAAAAATATTAATAACATTATTATTATTATAATTTTTATAAAACTGACACTCCCAAAACATCAAACAAGATAGTTGTATCAGAGTTCCTTGTTCCATAAAAATACAGAACTTTGATTTCTAAAACAATGTAGGCAAGAGGAAGTTGTTGTTTACCAAAAAAATTGTCACATCTCCGAACAATGCACTTCCCAGACGTATCCTTTACAGAGAAACACAGAAATGAAATCTTTATTTGATGTCTGCAACATCTAAAGCAAAATGTCTCTATGAAATGAAATTATTCTCCATTAGTTTTTGTTTTAAATAGGCTAATAGATATAGATCTCATCCACATATTGTAAGGATGGAAATAAAATACATTTTAAAATATACTTTGGTAAATTTAAAAGTTAGATATATTTTCCATTTCAAAAATGTATTTAATTACAAAATAAATAATTAAAATATATTTTAGTCACATGTTTTTTTTTTTAATCTTTGGGTTGATAAATCAGCTCATTCACACAAATTGTTCAGTTTTTTTTCCCTCATGTTTCATCAGTCCTGGATTTTGCAACATCAAAAAGAAGCCACTTTTACTATATCTTTGATGTATGATGGCAATGTATATTCCACTGAATACAAAACACTTTATCCAAGTTTAACATTTAAGTCTGTATCTGACAACACTCTTTGCACAGCTTTTACTGTGTTATTAGAAAACAAGACCTGATGTGGCTTGTTTTAAGGTGTGGTTTTAGTGTCAAAGTACCATCAGCTTAACTCTTAGTATTTTTTACTTGTTTTCAAGTATACATTTCTTAATATTTGTAATTTAATAGTAATTAAATATCTGAAAAGAAAACGTAATATATTAAGCTAAATTAGATGTTAGTATAGAGAACGAGAAATTTTTTAAAGGGCAATAAGTTATTTACATTTTTACTCAGAATTAAATTAAATTAAATTAAATTAAATTAAATTAAATTAAATTAAATTGTAAATTAAATTGTAAATTAAATTGTAAATTAAAATGTTAACTGTGCTCTTGACTGAATCTTGAAAGAGGAATTGTGTTGTGTTTATGATTTTTCTTCACTAGCACAATAGCACCTGATTGTCCTTTGTCTTAAAGCTAATTGCCATTTCAAACAACATCAAAAACTTATTTAGAAACAATAGTTAATTACCATTAACCAGGGTGTGAATTGTTTTCTTTTACTGTCATCATCACTGTTGCCACAAGATGGAGATCTTGTATTTGTGATTCACAGTCATGCCGTGATCCATGCAAACGTGCTCTTCTGAGTCGGTCAGAAATGTAAGTAAATGTAAAATGTTACATTAAAACATAACATATCAACAAAAACCTACATTTCCTTTACCACAGTGACAAACATTCAATCTGATGCTGTAAATAGCTTAATTTTAAAGCCACACAGTTGTATGGAGGAAATTCCAGTGCAAATCTGCTTTTCACAAGAAATATGAGTCTCTGTGTTTTTTCTTTTTATGTCAGAATCATGTATTTACTTCTGATGTGAGTCATAAAAGAGTGTATTAATCAGGGTTTCAGGTTTTATTTGCTAAAACATTCACAGGCCATATGATAATACCGTGTGTGTGCATGAGTCACCTTTAATCTCCCTGCATGTGCCCACAGGTAAATGCCAGCCCATATGCACAAAATAATCACCTCAGGTTTAGATCTAAAGGTACGGCTCGCTATTCAAACACATCATTGTTCGTAGTCAAGTTTAACTTCTAAACAGTTTAAGAGAAAATCACCGCTTATCAAATTACACACTCACCCAGGGGTTTCTTAGAGAGCTCAGAGGTCATACTGTACTTAAAGGCACAATATGATATCTGGGCTCCTAGTCTCAAGTCTCATTCATTCACCAGCCAATTCACACGCTCAAACACCACACCTGTTTTTTCTCAGACCGAAGAGTAAGGAATAACTTTTCCTACTTGATTTTCTAATCGAAAAGCCTCAGAGCATATGCAGGGAAGTACTCTGCCATACTTATAGCTGTCTCAAGCTACAGAATGATTTTGCAACGCATCAACAATCGGCCATGTTGGAGGCACAGAATGTAAACAATGGCATTAAACGAAGTGAAACTTGCATAGTTTGCTGATTATTGTTGCTGAAAATAATTAATTATTGCCTTGTTTTGAGCTGTACTAAATGAATACTAGCACATACCAATGTTCTTCAAATATTTTAAAGTGTGCATTTTTTGGTCCCTAAACGATGTTAGATGTGAATGAGCGGTCAAAAATATTTCCTTTTTTAAAATGAGTGAATAAATGTACCTGTACTGATTAATAGTGTTTTCTAATGAACTGAAAAAACAAACAAACAAATGTAATTTTTATATTAATTTGGTTCAGGCAAGAATAAGAATAAAAAAGTAGACTATATGAGCACTTAATTCAAGGTTGTAAAAATTAAAGCTTAAACACACTACTTATAGTTTTAGAATAGTTTATTAGGTTAATGGTAATTAGAATTTTACACTGTAAATATACACTCGCCGGCCACTTTATTAGGTACACCTCACTAGTGTCAAGTTGAACCTCTTTTGCCTTTAGAAATGCCTTAATCCTATGCGGCATAGATTCAAGAAGGTACTGGAAATATTCCACAGAGATTTTGGTCCATTTTACATTTTTGTTGTCCATTATTTGTTGGCTGCACATCCATGATGCAAATCTCCTGTTCTACCACCAAGGTGCTCTATTGGATTGAAATCTGGTGACTGTGGAGGCCATTTAAGTACAGTGAACTCATTGTAATGTTCAAAAAGCCAGTCTGAGATGATTTGCGCTTCATGAAGATTGGTACACTGTGGTCATAAAGGGATGAAGATGGTCAGTAACAATATTAAGGTAGACTGTGGCGTTGACACGATGCTCAATTGGTAGTAATGGGCCCAAAGTGTGCCAAGAAAATATCTCCACATCATTACACCACCACCACCAGCCTGAACCATTGATCTGAGACAGGATGGATCCATGCTTTCATGAGGTTGATGCCAAATTCTGATTCGAATGTCGCAGCCGAAATTGATACTCATTAGACCACGCAATGTTTTTCCAATTTTCTATTGTCCAATTTTGGTGAGTCTGTGCAAATTTTACCCTCCGTTTTCTGTTCTAAGCTGACAGGAGTGGCACCCGGTGTGGTTCTGCTGTTGTAGACCATCCACTTCAAGGTTCAACATATGCATTCATAGATGCTTGTCTGCATACCTCAGTTGTAACGAGTAGTTTTTTGAGTTACTGTTGCCTTTCTAGCAGCTGGAACCAGTCTGGCCATTCTCTTTTGACCTCTGGCATCAACAAGGCATCTGCGCCCAAAGAGCTGCCGCTCACTGGATATTTTCTCTTTTTCAAACCATTTTCTGTAAGCCCTAGTGATGGTTGTGCATGAAAATCCCAGTAGATCAGCAGTTTTTGAAATACTAAGACCAGCCCGTTTGGCACCAACAACCATGACATGTTCAAAGTCTTTCTTCTCCCTTCTGATGCTCAGTTTGAACTGCAGCAGATCATCTTGACCATGTCTATGTCTAAATGCACTGAGCTGCTGCCATGTGACTGGCTGATTTAAAATTTGCGTTAATGAGCAGTGAGCTGGTGAGTGTATCTTTACAATGACAAAGGGCAGAGAGTTGCTTTCTAAATACTGAGAGAATACTTTGATTACTAAGAGCTATTGTCTGGGCTCTCCATGACTTTTACACCTTCTTTTCTTCATGTGTTCAATTCTTTTCCCCTTTGTCATTTCAAATTATTACTCATCAATTAATTTATGGACGAGTTTTTTTTAATCTACTGATAATTTTGTTGTTACTAACATCGGGTGAAAATTTCAAGTCAACTGTACTTTTAGACATATGTTTTCTAAGAAAAATGATGATGTGTTCAATACTTTTTTACCTGCTACTTTTTTTACCCTTACCTTGTAAGTTTGTTCGAACATTCATTCATTTTCCTTTGGCTTAGTCCTTTTATTCATCAGGAGTCACCACAGCAGAATGAACTGCCAAC